ATATATATATATATATATATATATAATGATTGCAAACCTAAACCCAGTGATGCGTCGTGCAATTCTCAAGTTCCAATAAAACCGTGACCACAGTCAACAACAAAAGCAATGATGAAATGAAAACCGCAATTCAGCAAAAAAAAATAGAAACAAGCAACGCATGAAAGACCAACGTTAGCAGTAAACATCAAACCAACAAAAAAAAAACCATGATAACAAAAGCAGCAAAAACAGACAAAATCTCACAACCAACTTAAAAACAAAACGGGGTTCTCACTTACGCACTGGATAACTATCTCGTGATCATCCACAAAGATCCAAACTTGGACTAAATGGCGAACGCCCACATGGAGATTAAGTGAGAAAACCACCAGGGGATGGAAAAACCGAGCCTACCCAGTAGAGGAAAGGGGGAAATCACTGCATAAAGGTTCAAACTTTTTGAAAAACACGCAAAGGGAAAATGAAATGGAAATGCAATTAAGAGGGTGGTTCCATGTGGGAGGGAAGAGGTGGTGAAGTAGAATAATGGAGATGGAGCGGAATTCGAGGGCTTAAAAGTCAAAGTGAATGGAATTGGCATGGAGTTGGCTTGAAGAAGAAGCTAAGTGAGTGAAGTGAAAGAAGGAAAATGGGTTTTGCATATGAATGTGAGGAATTCGGGGTATAGTTTAATCCAATTCAAAGATGGAACAAGCATGGCATCATTCGAGTGTCAGCATCACATTCACAAGATTTTTAAAGTTCAAACCTTAATTCAAGCAGTTCTGTTTTCTGCTCTCTTAAATCATTCTACACGTGTCTACACAATGAATTTTTTTTTTTCTTGATTCAAATATTATTTTTATTCATGTACTTCCGATTACTTTTCCGGTAATTTTATCCTTACATATGTGTATTCACGGCTTTTTGACCCAAGTAAATTAAAAAATTAAAAAAAAAACATGAATTAAAAAAACATCTATTTAGGTGATTTCTGATAAAACACATATATGTTCAAATGGCATGGAAATGTTGCATTTGAACATTGTACATTCTGTCACAGTGTCAAGGTGCAAAAGTAGGAGCAGGTCAGGCGTGACAACCTTTGACGAAATGGCGCACGGGACACTGCGCTTTGTTAGTGGTTCAATTGGCGAACAAGGGCCCTTGTGTCTTGCTCTCCACCATGGCAGCCTCCCCCCTCTTCTCCCTTCTCCTTTATAAATACAACCCTCATCTCTTTTCTCATTCCCCACCCTTCTCCTTCTCCTTTCCTTGTAAGTTTTTTTTTGTTTTTTTGTTTTTTTTTTTATTATTTATTTATTTTAATTATAGTTTTTATAATTTATTTAATTATTTATTTAGTTATAATTTATTTATTTATGTTTTTATTAATTTTGTGTGTTATTTTGCAAGTTAGAAAACACGTACATTATTTTTCCATCTATTTCTGCAAATTGGTTATAGTAAGTATATAGAATTTAAATTTTTTTAAATGTATTGTATATTTTAAATTTAAGTAATGTATATGTATAAACTAGATATGGACCCGTAGAATGTCCAGATAAAAAAAGAGTAAATTATATAAATTTAAAAATATATTATTTTATCATTTAATTAATGTGATAGTTTTAAATATAATTTCTTTTAACTATGTTAGTGGTAGAAAATTGAATATATTATAAACTCATAATGTTTTATAATGTATGTGTAAGTTATATTTTCAAGTATTCTAAACTAGTATTATTTGTCATAGTATTATACTCTTCATTAATGAATAAATAAATTAAAATATAAATAAAGATATATAATACTTGTATAATTTATAATGTCTTTGTAGTAGTTAACATTAAGTTTTGTATAAATAAAATCACAAGTTAATAAAATTGAAGTTTTCTTTACATAATATAATCTTTTTAGAAAAAAAAGTTTACAATTTAACATAACTAAAATGAATATGATTCAAGAATGAAGATAAAAGGAGTATGAAAAATGTTTTTGGATATCTATCAATAACTGTTTTTAAGATTGATGTAATTATTTTTTGAGAAATAAAAATCTACATATATATGAGCAAATAAAATTGAATAATGTAAATTAATATGCATTGAAACAATGATTATGATTGTATTAGACATTGAATATAATAAAAAATTTATGTTTCTTACAATAAATAATAATTAATTATTTGGTTTTAGAAAAAAAAACATAATGGTTAATTTTAATTGACATTAATATTAATTAATATAAAATTTATTACTTTTTTGTAATTAAAAATTAAGTCAAATTTAATCTTTTAATTAAAAAATTATTAATATATATATATATGAACTAATTAAATGTAATTTCAAATTTTCAAATAGTTTATAGTATAATTAGTATCAATTTATATTGTGACATCATTGTTAATGATTAATATAAATGACCATACATTTACTATTTATTTTTAACCGAAAGTTTAATAAAATTAATCTTATAATTGATAAAATGAATATATTAATATATATATATATATATATATATATATATATGCACTATTATAACTTAATTTCATATTATAATACATTATAGTTTTGGCCAAATTTTTTTTTATATCTTACAATTAATAATAATTATGCAACGTTTATTGTTTTATACTTTTTATAACCCATATTTTAATCAAATTATTGTCTTAATTGTTAATTATTAATTAATATATGTAATTACTAATTAAACATATTTTTAAAATTGTTAATTACTTAATATAAATTGAAAAAATATGATAAAATCTAATCCAATAATTAATATTTAATATTAAGTGTAGTCATGTTTAAAAAATAAAATCTCAAAATCACGTGATTAAAAAAATCAAGATATTACTAAAAGAATTTTAAGTGTTGTTGCTTTAAATATTGTAGTATATTATAATTATTTTAAAATTAGTTGTACGATGTTTTTAATAAAAATGTTGAACTATTGAATTATTTGAATTAGTTAAGTAATATAATAATAGCTTTGATAAATATAATGTATATTATTTGAGAGATGAGTAATATAATTTTTTTATTAAAATTAATTGAATTAAGTGAATAATGAGATGAACATGTAATATATATA